CGCAAGAGGAAGCTGTCTGAAAGGGATGTTATGGTCTAAAACCAGGTGTTTCACTTTCATTGTCTAAACCTGTAAATACACCCCACCTGACCCCAGACAGCCCTGACTTTTAATCAGAGTCTGGGTTTTTGGGAGACCATTCTAGAATCTCAAAAGGGGATATTATGCAAAGTCAATTTTTTTTACCGTTATATCATGTTATAATGTCATTACCTAATCAAAATCACACCCAGAGTATTGTTTCATGCATGTTTGAGAAATCCTTGAATCTCCTAGTCAGGAGGTGCTTTRTGGTACAAAGCACCACCTATTTACACAAAGCCCCTCCCTAGAGCTCAGTCTGAAGCYKAGCTCCCACTCCACAGACCGCCCCTTACCCACTCAGTTCCACCYAACTTGCAAARCKTATCTTAAAAATGGTGGRTATGTAAAGCATAGCTTCATAATGATCTATATTTATGGTGTCTTCTGCGAGCAGCCCCCCTCGCAGAAGACACCCCTCTCTCTTACCCCCTCTCTTACTTGAGCATAATTGATTGTGGTATAGGATTGAACTGTGTGCCTGAAAAATACATAATACCTCCTTTAATGTTATCATGATTTATCCAATCAGAAACCAGTTCTGCTGAATGTTTGGGATCAATGTCCTGTTAGACCCAACTGTGTCCAAGTTTCAATCAGATGTTTAAAAGTAGACCTTCTTCTTCATTATTMTATCCATTATGCATCAGTACCACAGCATGATGATGTTCATGGGCCTGAAAGCCTCGCCTCAAACCCTTTGTCATTGTGTCCAAACAACTCAATCTTTGTCTCAACATCAAACTTTTCTCAAGAACACATTTGTCTCGTCCATATGAACAACTGCAGGTTTCAGTCCAGATTGAAGGTCTGTGTTTTGGAGCAGGAGCYTGACAGTCCATGCTGTTGTAAAAGTGATTTCACTGTAGACGTGAACACTGGTGTTCCTCACTGCACATCAATGYCAACTTGATCTAGGGATTTATTTTTTGAAAAGACAACATTTTGTTTAAATTTGCAAGGGTTACAACATCCAGGATTGGGTTATTTTCAGCAAAATGTCTTTTTACTTAAGATTAAAATCATTAGCCTTATTGGATGATTAAATTAAAATGTCCTAGAATAAAACAGTTTGTTGTTACATTGACAAATAAAATTGACATTTAACCAACTAAAAGAAGGAAACTGCCTACGGGTGACAGTGGAACTTGATTTTTCATAAATGTCGGGGTTGATAATCTTTCACTATCTCACRATTCGTTTTGATTCTTAAATTCACAATCAATTTTGGATTAAAACAAATWCGATTCCTGATTTCTGCTTCAATCCATCGTTTAGCAAAGAATCGAGATCGACTCCAGTTTGCTTTGCAGAGTGACAAAGAGATATTAGTGTCTTTTCATATTTGAATTTAAACATTGATCCATGCTCAGATGGAATTGTTGCTGTTGCTAACAAAAATTGCATCTTTATAAGAAAAACATTGCAGTTAAACATGCTGCTTTTTAAATTCTAAGGAAAGTAATTATTCCAAAAACTGTTTCCTCTGTGTTTTGGTGCTTGTGTACGCTTCAGACCCAGCAGCCTGTTGATGTCCGGATATCCTGCATAGTTACAAAATRGCCAGCAATTTTTTATTACATTTTTTAATTAATTTTCAGGACATTTTTTATTGATTAGATTTGTAAATGAGAATCATGATTCTTATGTGAATCATTATTTGGCACACCTCTAATAAATGTTAGAAAATATAAATGGTGAACATGCATTTCAGTGGGGACCCCTCAGGTTTATACAATATTTTTCCCAGTACAGCCTCAAAGTGTCTCCAACTGACCCAAACCTACAGAAACAGGTACCCCAACTGTAAAGATGGTTGCACACATTTTAAGAGCCCCTTCATTATTTATATATCTGAATCTTTGTGTAGAAAAAAAGTCTGGATTTCAAATGTATTGTCTGTGTTTTCTTAATGCATCTCTCTCATATCTTCTTGTTTCCCTTTCCATCTCTTTTTTCACTTTTCTCCTTTTCCTCGTTTACTTTTTCTGTCTTGGTGTCCATTGCGAATTAATCCCAAAACAATTTATAATAAAGTTTTAAATAAATATCAAGTGGAGCATCATGGTGCATACCATGATGCTGTACTTGTGAAAGTAAAACTGTTGGGCTTCATTTGGACACTCAGACATCAATTCTGAGTTTCACATTGCCAGACAGGACACGGTGTAAGTAAAGTAAGAAAGAAAATAAGTAAGAACATAAATAAGAAATAAAGAAAGTAAGTAAGTACGTAAGTAAGAACGTAAGTAAGTAAGAAAGTAAGTACATAAGAAAGTACGTAAGWAWGWAWGTAAGWAAKWAMKTACGTAMGWAAGWAAGTATGTACGTAARAACGTAAGTAAGAAAGTACATACGTAAGAAAGTAACTGCGTACGTAAGAACGTAAGTAAAAGTATGTATGTAAGAACGTAAGTAAGAAAGAAAGTACGTACGTCAGAAAGTATGTACGTAAGAACGTAAAAATATAAGTAAGAAAGGAAGTACGTAAGTAAGAAAGTACATACGTAAGAAAGTAACTGCGTATGTAAGAACGTAAGTAAAAGTATGTATGTAAGAACATAAGTAAGAAAGAAAGTATGTACGTAAGAAAGTATGTACGTAAGAACGTAAAAATATAAGTAAGAAAGTAAGTACGTAAGTAAGAAAGTACGTAAGAATGTAAGTAAGAAATTACGTACGTAAGAAAGTAAGTACGTACGTAAGAACATAAGTAAGAAAGTACATACGTAAGAAAGTAACTGCGTACGTAAGAATCTAAGTAAAAGTATGTATGTAAGAACGTAAGTAAGAAAGAAAGTACGTACGTAAGAAAGTATGTACGTAAGAACGTAAAAATGTAAGTAAGAAAGTAAGTACGTAAGTAAGAATGTAAGAAAATAAGTACGTACGTAAGAAAGTAAGTACGTACGTAAGAACGTAAGAAAGTACATACGTAAGAAATTAAGTACGTACGTAAGAACATAAGTAAAAGTACGTATGTAAGAATGTAAGAAAGAAAGCACATACGTAAAAAAGTAAGTACGTAAGAACGTAAGAATGTAAATAGATTAGATTAGATGGACCTTTAATGTCACTGTACAGAGCACAATGAAATTACAGTTCAGAACACCCATTCAGATGAAGACAGAACATAAAAGGAGAACAGGTGCTCTGGGTCATGAAGCCACAGACCCTGCAGAGCAAGGATCATCATCAAGAAGTTATCATGAGGAGGCACAACGCTTAAAAGAAAAAACTAAAAACCACACAAGGGAAGAACAAGAACATAAGACAGAAAGAACGAACAAATAAACTAAAGAAAGATATATGTCACGTTTTTGTGCATACTACATCAAACGTGAGGCCAGGTGAGTTTACATCTTAAGAGTAGTGAGTTGAGATTGATCCATTCCGGAGTTCTTCCGAAACATAATTTCATTCATGCCAACAAACTGTTAAAAAATGGCACGTGTCCTTATACTCATTTACCTGTTTTGATCTACCACGAGTTAAGAATATGAATGTTTGAGTGAACCCTTGGATACAGCTGTGGACTGATTAGTGGTTTTATTCAGCATTCGCCAGCAGCCAATTAGTGCCCAGAACCAGGAAATACACCTTGAGTTGTCTTCATGTCGACCCCGCCTCAGTGTCTTAAAGRGGCATTCTATTTCTACACGGAGTCAAGACGTCACACGTTCAGTCCTCACAATGTTCGATCACAGTTCTTTTTATGTGTTGTGTTAAACCAGACATGTATCTCCTGAGTCTGTGAAACCCTCATCAAGAGCCCCACAACCCAGTCTGCACATAAATCATCAGTTCAAGCAGAAATAATCACATAAACAGATATTACTGTTTACCTAAGAAAAAACTATACTATGTGAAGTGTCTTTAAAAGTCAGTGGAGAAACAGACCCCAATAAATTTCTTCAAAACAAAAACCTCAAAGTTTTAGAATAATCAGTCACATCGAGTTCTTTCTGATCACGTTTATTAAAGTCACACATCAATTGAACTAACAGCTGACAATCATGATGGACTCATGTCACACTTCACTGGACAGGTGGTAAAGTTATAGATGGGGTCAAAGGTCAAACATGACTTATTACATTTCAGACTTCTTTTAGAACAAACATGATGCTTTCCTCAGGCAGAGAAAAATCAGAAACCTACAGCTAACCAGCTGGATCTAACGGGTACAAAATGTTGGGAGGCACACGGTCTTACTCTAGGATCATATCGGTGACCAACTGACAAAACACACTCATATCATCTTATAGTAAGACCTGAAGAGTCAGAGAGAAGAGTAGAAAAAGACAGGGGCGATGGGACCGTGTGTTCACAGGTCCTTCAGGCCCTTCTGGATCCCCCACAGTGTGTCCGCACTCTTCTTCAGCTGGGACACCTCATCGTCGGTGAGGGTCACGTTGACCACGCTGCACACGCCGTTACTGTTCAGGACACATGGCAGAGACAGGAAGACCTCCTCGGAGATACCATACATGTCCTGTAACACAAGAGGACAAGACTCAGACAGCGCTGCAGGGGGGGCACGCTCTGGTGATCCTGACTGCATGGATCAGTTTTCTGTAAGGGGGTARCTGTCAGACCTTGACCATGGTGGAGACGGGGTGGACACGACTCAGGTTCTTCACAATACTCTCCGWCAGGTCGGCCACGCTCAGTCCGATGGCCCAGTTGGTGTAACCCTTCAGCTTGATCACTTCATAAGCACTGGAAAACAAAAAGGTCTCCAATCAAAATTTGAGTTCTGTACAGTAGATACAGTAGATTTTAAAAATTTTCAAACGCTCTTAGAGATTTCTGAGATGACAGTCTTAAAGAATTCACATAAAACACACTGAATAATCTACAAAACAAATTCTTGACCCTTTGATCCCATTAACTGACTTAATATAAACCTCTGGAAATAAATTATATCTAACTGTTRTCCAAAGTCATCACAAAAAAACATGTCCCACCAAGGTCTAGACCTAACTAAAAGTCTCAAAACTCACCTGTCCACCACAGCCTTGTGTACTTGTTTCCACTGCTCCTTATCAGCATCGGTGCCAATCGCTGGGTTCAGTTTCTGCAGATTGACTCCTGCCACGTTAGCTCCACTCCACACAGGCACTAAAATCAACACATCAGGTTGATTGTGTTCGAGTTCAACTCAGAGACGTTTAATTGTCCTGGTATCAAGCTTCAGAACCACAGCTATGCCCCAGGTGTGGACTCACCGCTGGTGTCCCCATGCTCGCCCAGAACCCAGCCATTGAAGGAGCTTGCGTGGATGCCGACGCGTTCGGCCATCAGGTACCGGAACCGAGCTGAGTCCAGGTTGGTGCCGCTGCCAATTACACGGTGCTTGGGCAGGCCGCTCAGTTTCCAAGTTACATAGGTCAGAATATCAACTGGTTTAAACAAAAACACAAAACAGGGTGGAGATATTGCCAAAAAGAGGGTGGAGCTACAAACTAAATGAAAGCTGTTGCAACTCCTTACTGAAAGCCATAATGCATCATAAAAACATGTTTACTGACCAGGGTTGGACACCACAATGATGGTACAGTTGGGGCTGTACTTCATGATCTGTGGGATGATGCACTTGAAGACGTTGACGTTTCTTTGCACCAGGTTGAGGCGGCTCTCGCCCTCCTGCTGGCGAACACCAGCCGTCACCACGACCAGACGAGAGTTGGCAGTAACAGCATAGTCTGAGGAGGGAAGATGGTCTGATAAGTCATATGTGGATACAGGAAGATGAGGACAGACACAGCAGAACTCCAGTATCTGACCTTTGTCTGCAACGATCTTGGAGGTCTTCAGAAAGAGGCTGCCATGCTGCAGATCCATCATCTCTCCTTTCAGGCGGTCCTCCATCACATCAACCAAAGCCATCTCATCACACAGGTCCTGACCACAGAAGGTCACAGGGTTTGAAAACATAGAAAAAATTTAACCACTGCAGCCATACTGACATAATGACCCGAGGGAGCTTAAAGCTGGACTGGTCTGTGTGGCGATTTCGCAAACTGTCTTGTGAAAGAGGCTTTGAAGAATTCAGAACTCCAAGTCGGCACAATTTGGCAACTTAATATGACCAACCTTAGTTTAACTTATCGACCTTGTTGTAATTTATCATGCAATTCACTGATTTATTGCTTRTTGCGACAGGCCTACATTAAAAGTATTCTTTCCACTGGTTGAGGTCAATAGCACCCCGCCTACACTAAACACACAGTATTGGTCTGCTTTTCATACCTCAGCAGCTTGACAGTTTGCCAGAATTTTATTGGACCCAATCGAGAGTCTCTATCCTAGACYTGAAACTCCTCCCACATTCGAGGTTTGGGAGAAAGCGCTGTGGTCATAAGAGACAAAAGTCTGGGTCTTTGGCATTAGTTCAACCCGTCATGTTTAAAGGACAAAAATGCTGAGTATGACCCAAAGAACACATCCCTACAGTGAAGCACGGAGGTGGAAATAATATGGTTTGAAGCAGCTATTCTGCTAAGATGACTTCGTTACACCAAGAGGCCAATGGACAGGGCCATGCACTGTAAAGTCCTGGACCTGATCCTTTTTCCCCTCAGCCAAAACAGTGCCAATGGGCTGTGGATGGGTCTTCCAGCAGAACCTTGATCCAAAACTCACCAAGACAACACAGACGTGGCTAAATAAGAAGTGGATTTGGCCTCAACGGTCTTCAGATCTAAATGCTGTAGAAAATCTGAGGAGCTAGAGTCAAGTTGCCAAACATAACTAAAAGCCCTAAAATTTCTGTAAAGAAGAATGGGCCAAAATCCCACCGGTCCAACTACGAGAAACACCAAAGGTTTCTCCACCAAGCACTGAGTCAGGTTTTACCTCAGGATCAAGTCCTTATTTTACTCAATGACAGGTAAATCAATTCGTTCTTCTAGTTGTTTTTTTCTGGGTTTTTAGTTGGTACAATAAAATTAGAGATTGTTCATTTCCTTGTGTAAGTGGGCAAATATACAAAATAAGCAGGAGATGAATCCGTTACAGTATTTCTCTGACAGTATGAAAGAAAACAGTGTTTGCATAGAAAACAGTTCAGAGTGAACTAGACTTACCCTTAGCAGGATGCTGACAGCGCAGGCCATGCCTACCTGGCCCACGCCGACCACCGTCACCTTGTTTCTGGGAGGTTCTGGGGCACCGCCGGCCATGGAGGTCATGAGTTTCTGCTCCACTGAAGACATGATGACTGCTGCAGAGAGAAACAGGAAACATCCTAATGAGACAACTAGTCTGAACATCTCTTCTAAAATTACAACTTACTATTGATCTATACTACTATCTGATCTTCTTTAGGGCCAAATCCAGTGAGCCCTAACCCAGAAAACAATATAAAATGTAAATGATGATGATGAAAAAATGTTAAATCTCTAMCTATCGGTATCATTTTTTATTCTGATAACAAAAGCCCGATAAATTAACACCTGGATTTGACCAAAATGTGTTAATAAATGTTTGTGGTCCAGAGACGTTCACCGGTGCGCAACTGATGATAAACTGGATTATCTCAGGGAGAGCATGATCCAAACTATTGTTTGAGACAAAGTGTTAAAAATAAATATGGCACTTTTCCCCCAACTTCAGTTAAATGGTTTTTATTTTTGTACAATGTTTATGTATGGAATGCATCTAGTGAGGTATCAAAAAGCAGACATAATGTCCCTGACAGGAGATATGTGATGTCACCTTAATATCGGTTGTAATATCGGTTAATATCGGAATCGGAAATAAGGTGTTGAACAATATCGGCAAAAAGTCAATATCGAGCATCTCTAAACTATATATTTTAGAACATCAGAAATGCCTTGTCCAGCCATTTGGAACAAGGCAGGGGGTGTGTTTGGAGAGTTCAAAATCAGTAGTTTTTGAAGACAATTTGTGAGAATTTATATTTGGTGTCAGATTATTGAGTTATATTTTGTGTCATTTAACAAGAGGTTTTGACTGGGGCTTCAACTGCTTGCTGCCACTCCAGATTCTAGTTTGAATAAGACCCGAACCCAGTTCAGACTGTGGATGGGTGGGGATTTCTGAACATTTTAAGTTTATAATAAAAATGTCAAATTCAATAAATTTTCCCACTTTTTTTGGTGACACAGTACTAGGAGGGTAGGGTTGAGCAAAAGTGACATAAAAATCTATCATGATTACTTGTGGTATTTGACCGATAACCATTAATGTGATGGTTGACAGAGGACAGTTGAACTTGTGACATTCTGGCCTTGGTCCAGTTTCTGGCATTGCTCGTACTCTGGTTTATGTTGGTGTTTAAAGCGATTAAACAAGTCCGTAGGGTTAGGGCAGGGGTCTGCAACCTTTACGATCAAAAGAGCCATTTGTGCTGCTTGTCTCACTAATAAAATGTGTCCAGAGCCACAAAACAAGATACAACTGTGATTATTAGCTGGTGGTCCATGGGCCTTTTCGAGGTCTTTTCGGGAACCTTTGCGGTATGTGGAGGTGACATTATAAAACTAAAAAAATATATGTGTGTATGTATATGTGTGTGTGTG